GGGAGTTAGAAATAGTCAGGCTAATGCATTTATGACTTAATTTGGTAGGCAGTGGGGAGCCACAGAACATTCCAGAGTAGGGGAGTGTCCTGGCAAAGAGGGAGGGGGCAGCAGTGAGGGTATGTGTTGAAAGAGCAAGCCACTAGGGTGGAGCATCAGACTAAAGGCTCACAGGGCAGTGGGAGGGAATGAGAACCAGGCTGTGATCACCTGCCTGCTTCGATAACGCAGAGGGACAGAGAGCCTTGTTGTACCAGACAGGAAGGAAAATAGTAATAGACACCACTTACTTGATGCTGTCTAGGATTAGGCCCCATTTTAAAGGATCACTGCTCTAAAGGAAAGAGAGTTAAGAGCCTGCTATGTACAGAATGAGCAGATGGATTGATGATCATCTTTAGGTTTGTGTCAAAGAGAAGGAATGAAGATTAGGAAGGTTATAAAATGCTTACCCAAGGTGCGTACCGAAACCACGGATATGGGAGCTCGTCACTGAATAAGAAATGGTGATACTTCTATGTTGGTAAGTGAGACAAATGACAAAAAAAAAAACAGTTCACCCAGCTCTCTGGCCCAGGAAAGCCCGAGTACCTGGCACTGCTGCTGCTCTCCCTGAATGTCACCTCTTCTTTAACGCACATAACACACATTAAGTGAAAATGTGTAGACATGAGCGGCAGAAGCAAATGGATAAAAAGGAGACGCTACACTGGCTGCTTCTAGGAGTCAAATCCTTCCTGGCTCCAGTTAGAATAGCACTCAGCATGTATGTTCTGCATGCACCAAGCAGGATCACAGTACATTGTCATTCAGCACCCCCACACCTGGCTCACGCTGTACTGGTTTAAAGCAGAGATCTCAGACTGGCCTTCTGAAAAGTGAATACAGCTGTTTTGGGGCCATGTCATGTTCCCTAACATTATTTTAAAAAATTAACTACCAACACTTAAATATCAGAAAATTTCACATAAAGCATGGAGGTTTGTGGCTTCTCTTAACAAACTGGGAATTCTAGCAACTATATGGCCCAATCCTGCATGGTATCGACCAGAGCTGAGCAGCATTTATCCTTCTTTAAACATTAGAATTTCTGCCGAGCACAAGTCATTTATTCATTCATCATTCCTTCGCTTATTCATTCAACAAGTATTCATCAAGCACCTACTATATGCCAAGTGCTGTTGTAGGACATGGAGACACAGCAATGAAAAAAATATACCAACATGCTTACTTTCCTGGAGCTGATATTCTTGCAAGGTGAGCTAGACAACAAACAAAGTGATGGATATTTCGGGTTCTAAGTAATAAGAAAAATAAAGAAGTAAGGTACAGAGATTGAAAGAGGATGGGGAGGTATCAGACAGGGTGGTCAAGGCAGGGAAGCCTCTCTGATTAGGTGATACCTGAGCCAAGATCTGATTAAAACGAGAGAACAAGTCTTCAGATACCAAGGAAACAGCAATTGTAATCACATCTCATATGTGGGAGGAACACATAAAGGAAGGAGCAAGGAGCAGACGGTATCTCGGGCCTGGCAATGATTTGGATTTTATGCTGAGTGAGACGGGAAACCCCTGGCAGGTTTGAGCAGAGGAGTGACATGGTTGGACATACTCACTTATGTTAGTGACTGGCCCCTGTAAGCATTTAAACTTTTGATCCTTGGTTTAAAGCAAGACGGTCAGAGGTTAAAGGGTTAGAAATGAGTTCTGCGTCTGGAGAGGAAAATAATCAGATTGTGTGGCAGAAGTCTCCTGATCTTCAGAATACAGTGTCTGTGTGGAAGAATAACCCCACACACAGCAGTGACCTTGAATTACCTGGTATCCGTGGGCAGAGTTAACACACAGTGAAGCCACTAAGAAAACCAAGCTCGCAGGACCCTGAGACTGGTCACTGCGTGACTCTAGGCCAGAAGAAAAGGTTTCCAGTGGACATCTGGAACATTCTATCTTGTCCACTTGAGGAAAGCTTCTCTTACTTCTCTCTTTACCAGTGACATTCAACCCTCACTGGCACACCTGGCTTAGTAAACAAGTCCTAATCCTTGTTTATATCAACAACTTTAGTTAAATTTTGCATCCTCCCAACTCAGGAAAAATGTGGCCCTTGTACCCTGAAACAAAGTGACAATCAGTGCTGGGTATTCCATGTGATCTGATCTTCCAGAAACTCCATATCTAGACCTGAAGAGTTTGAAACGTTTGACAAGAGGAAAGGGTCTACTCACAATCAGAGCGTGATCCCGGCCCATCGTGATGACTGTCCGATTCACCGTGCGAAGCAGCTGGACCATGATTTCTTGGATGTGGTGGTAGGTGAAGGCCTGCAACACAGTCAGACACGTCTGAGTGACAACCAGGATGTCGTACCAGCAAAGAGCACAGACGATAGTGGTCAGACATGATGATCTCCAACACCATCACCACCATCACCAACAATGTCAGTGCCATCATCATCATCTTCATCATCATTGTCGGAGCTCCATCACCACCTGGCACTGGGCACCAGGAATTCCACTAGTCACCTTAAATGTAAGTTAGTGAGCTCACTTAAATTTCAAAATCAGGAACTTAGGGTTTAGAATATTAGCTCTGACGAGAATTATTACTACATTGGTTAAGTTACATAATTCTCTAAGTCCTGGTTTTTCATCTAACAGTCAGGATCTAAGCTGGAATAGAAGGGAATTTAATGTGGGGGTTGGTTACACAGATGATGGAGAAGTGGAGGCAGCAAACAAGGAAACCTATGGCCAGCAACAGCAGGGAGCCTCAATCAGCCCTCGGCTGGAGAGAGAGAGAGGAGGCAGTGTTTCTGGAGCCCAGGGACCAGGGCTATGCAATGGAAACTGTAACCATGGGTGCTTATGCAGCAGAAGCTGCATTATCCACCTTGGGTAGCATTCATGGTGAGTCAGACTGCAACATTTGTAGGATTCTGCTCGCTTTAAATACAGGTAGGTCCCTGAACTTTCTCTAAGACTTGCTAATCCTCTTTGAACTTTTGCTGTAGTCAGCAAAGGTTTTATGCATATCTACCTACATCCTCAGATCATTTTGCCAGCATAGTCTTTAGGCACAGAGTTTCATCCATGTGTGCTTGTGAGGGTGGTCATGGCCAGGTAGCAAGGCCTTGGCAGTTTAGGTTCAGAAGTTCTGGGTCTGAAGTTCAAGGCTGTACTTGCCAGCTGTGTGATCTCACTTATCACTTAACTTCTCTGAGCCTCGACTCTCTTATCTACAAAATGTAGAAGGTTCTCCCAAGGTTGATGTGAACATAAAAGTGACGCATGCAGTTCTGGAAAAATACACATGCCTGGTTCCACTGCAGGAGGTTCTGTAGGTCTGAGATAGAGCCTAGGCATCAGCAGTTTCTGAACTTTACATGTGTTACTCTGATGGCTGAGAACCATGACACAGCACACTGTTTAGCCCTGGAGATGGAGGCTTGGGTTGGGGAACAGCCTTGTGTCCCCAGGACCTAGCCAAGCCTGACATCAAGCACTTGCTAAATAAATAAATGGAGACAGACAGAGTGGGTGACCACTCACACTCATCTGTAAGCGCATTATGAAGCTTTGTTATATTCAACTTAACTGTGGTTTTGTCTCTTAAAGGAACCAATGAAAGGGAAATAGATTTGCAGCTGGGGGGCGGGGAGGGCCAGAAAAAGAAAGAAGATGTGCTTATTAAAAAATGTCCTCCCCTCCCAACACGCTTTCGATGACTTTCAGCATCCAAAATGAATAACCCAGAGCTTGCTTTCTCTTTCCACCTCAGACTCACTTCTTCAGTATTCTGGCTAGTCCCAGATTCTCCAGCTTGGTGGAGCCACCAGCAGAACCTCTGCAATGGAGCAAGTTCCTGTGTTTCATCCTGTGCAGCCAGACCTCAGTCTCTTCACCAGACACGGGCTCCCCACCACCCAGCCCTCTCCCCTCCTGAGCCTCGGGGCAGGGAAGACAGCGTCTCCTCATTCTTCCTGGCTGAAGGTGAACCTCCCTCCTGACTTCCTTCTCCTTTATTTCTTCAAGCCTTTTTGCTGAGTGATAACCTCCTACTTCTTTCATTATGTGAAGATGACGTTCATGGTTATAGCAACAGCCATAGCTGACCTTTTTGAGAGCTTACTCTGCCTGGCACTCTGCTAGGCACTTTACCTCATCTCACACCAAGATGAGCAACGTTATGATCTCCATTGTTCAGATAAAGAAACTGAAGCCCAGAAAGGTTAAGTAACTTGTCCAGGGTTGCCCAGCTAGCAAGTCATGGGAAAAAAGATTCAAACTCAACAGTCTTGTTCCAGAGTATCCTCTAAACTCATCTAGGCAAACTGGAACATGATCGCAAGTCTCTGGTTGGTACCCTGGGGTCATCAGCTTCCTTCCATCTGCCAAGATGGACAGACTTGGCCTTCAATTGGGCCAACTTCTAACTCCTTCAGTGACTTCTGATCTTTGCTTTCCCTTCCTGAAAATCTTCAGTGCCATTATATATTCATTACTCCCTTATCTTCTCTACATTCCTTTGCAGTTTCATCAAATTTATATAATCGTTTCCATTTTGATGCTACTTTTTTTTCCAGGATTACATCTCTTCCCTTACCAATAGAAATATTAAAACCCCCTTGCTTGACCTCCTCCCCCTTGCTTCTTTTAAACAACCATTTCTTCTTAGTCTAAAGAGCAGCAATTGGACTGCTCAGGAAGTTTGGTATTTAAAGGGGGAAAACTGTCAAATTCAATTCATTTCACTCTGAAAGCTCCCAATATGGTAGATTGGGAAGTAGCGTGTTTTGAGATAAGATAGATTTGAGTTTGAATCCCAGCTTTGCTAATTTGAGCTGGGTGACCTTGGGCAAATTGCTTTTCCTCTCTAAATTTCAGTTTATTTATAAAATGTGGCAAACAATAGAAACTTCGAGGCTATCGATTTGAGGAATAAATCAGGTAATGCAGGTAAAGCCCTTGATACTAAGGGTTGGCACATGATAAGCCCTCAGTCAGCAGTGGCTGCAACTCACATTCCCCTTGGTCTGCACCGGCACTCTGGCTGAGCTTGCAGATTCCCAGCACGTAGCAGGAAGTGCAGTACAAGGCAATGCATAATCTAAACTCTGGGCAATATCGAAATGTCACCCCAAGAATGTATAGTGTATATGCAAATGGAAAACTTTCAAGATGATAAACCTGTGCGGAGCAGTAAAAGTGCAGCCACAAATCACCCACTGTTAATTGCTCCAGTGCCAGGCAAGTGGAGGGAAACTCTGGGAAAGTGTCTTCCGGGCTCGAACTAAACGGTGCCTTGTAATTGAAATGACAAAATCAGTCTTCCCATTATGGCCCTGGTAAAGAAATTAATCCATGCAACCTAAACACACTGCAAATTGTAGTGATTTTTTTTCTTTTAATAATTATAGGCTCTGGTGTCTGGAAGGGACTTGAAATGAAGTCTGATGCAGAAGCCCACTATATAACCCAGGAGGAGGAGAGCGGGGAGTGGATGGGGCAGGGCAGGGTGGGGCACGGGGGGGCCAAACCCTATCCTCTAGGATCACCCTGGGCCCTGTGCCAGCCCTAGGACTTTGCAGAATGTAATGTAAAATTACTAGTCTCCTGCAGTATTTCCAGAACAATAATAGAGCATACCAAACATGAGAATATTTTAAGTCATAACACACAGACACAGCATTGTATAACACTAAATCGAATTATGTGAAAGAAACGCCTTTTCATTTTTCTTTCAACCTTTCTAATGATACCAAGTAGAAAAATCCCCCTTTGGTGTTAACATTTCTTTAACACCTCCCTAGTTCTTGCAAAACCCCTTTCCTAACAAAGAGGGCAGTCCTCGGGTCAGAGAAGGCAGCAAACAGAATCTAGTTAGAACTTAATAACATTGTTTTGTTTTTATTATTTTTTAAAGTTAGTTATATTTATGGCACGTGCGCAGGAAAAAGATTCAAAACTTGGAAACAAAGCAAAATGAGGATTGCATGACTTTTTAGTAGAACGTTTCTGATACCAGCCAAGGGTCCTTTTACTCTCTCAGGAAACGTAACTTTGATTAACCACCCACAACTGATCAGAAACCGGAAACTTTATAACCTTGTAGAGTTAGTGAGTAACTTGCAGAAAAATGAGCAAATGTGATGTCTGCTGTTTTGTCAAAACTTGCAGTTTTATTGCTCTGTAGAAAGTTTAACTGTCTTATACCTAATGATCATTTTACACAAGCATCTCTTCTTTCACAAAAAAATCAAGAATCCTAAATACTTCTAACCGGCTCTTCAGTTGTTCAGCTTGTTCCCTGGTCTATCGCTTATATAAACTTTGATACATGCTCAGGATCTAATTGCATAAGATGCTATTTTTAACAATTTGACAATTCTACTTTTACACCAGTGATGCTGACTGCTTCCAGTAGTGATATGAAATTTTATTTTTATCAAAGTTATAAATGTATATAATTTTTTAAAAATCCTCAAGCTTTATGAAGAAACAACAAAAAAAAAATAAAAAAGTAGCAGTCTCTCATGTACCCTTTGCCAGAGGAAATTCTTTACTTCTTTTAGCTGTTGTAGTTGCTATTTTGGTATTTAGGACCACATCGCCAATAACATACTTGCGTAACTCCTTTTTTAAACTTCTTGCCCCACTTTTTGGCATCATCTGTTGACCGTCCACCATAAACGACAAGGATCTCATGCTTACCTTCCCCTGTCTCCGTCAGGCCACGTGTCCCTCCCGTTTCTCCTTCCTCCCATACGGTTACAGCATAATTTTGCTTTGATCTACATTTAGTATTTAAAATACTTTGATCACGTAAATACCATCCTTACCCATGTTGCAACCTATGATGAATTCCCATTTCTTACACAACTTTCCACTTCCCAAAAGGAAAAAAAAAAGTGACTTGGAAAAATCCAAGATTCCTTTTATTACTCTGAATGTTTAGGGTTTTTTTAACACTATCTTTCTCCTGATTTACAGTTGCCTCTTCTTTTTGAAGTTCTCTCTGCCTGTTTCTTAAAGTTTGCTTTGCTTTGCTTTGCAAAGCCCTGTTTCCTCCAAGTTGCTTTCCTTCTGTTGGTTTGTTTTGCACTCTCTCTTCTGTCTTAAGAGTTGCTCCTTAGGTCTCTTTTTTTTTTTTTTTTTTT